TATGTATACTTTCATGTGAAAGTGTGTTCCCTCATTCCTTAGACTTCAACTGGGCCTTCATCACTGACATCATTGCCAAGTTAGCTTAAGACCTCTTACATACTTTTTTCTGTTGTTGAAAAGGGCAGAATCACAAAGCTTAGGCTTCCACAGCCATTTAAGTCATGTGTCCAGGCTGGTGAGCATATTTCCGTGCCCCTTAGTCACCCAGGGACCCTTTCAACCAGAGGATAACAGTACATCAAACTTCAGATGGATCCTCGTTCCAATATTGTCAGTGCCTAATTGTGCTTAGAGTGCAGAAAATGAACTATGGGAAATCTCTTTGTTTCTCCAAGTCCAAGTTGTTTCTGTATTCATATCATCATCCTCTACCTCTGGCCTTTGGACTTTTCACATATCTGGGGCTCCCTTGCCAGGGGTAGGGTTAAGGCTCACACTGGGGTCCTCTTGGCTGCCACAATAGACATTTCATTCCTATCCTCCTCACCCCTGAGGAACTCACTGAGAACAATAAAAACTGATAAACCAGATAGGTTAAAAAAGAAAATGAAACTGAGGACATTTTTAAAGATCAGAGTACAAAGATAACAAATAGACTACAACTATAAACCTTCTTAAATGCAAAAAAATGTAATTAAAAGAGCAAACAATACACATCTGATAGAGACAGATGCATAAGGAAATTAACACATAATTATCAATGTGACAAAGTTGAGACCAAATATCTGAGACATGCCAATAACTACTATGAATGGGCTTAACATCTATTAAAGAAAAGAAATTTTATGGCTCACAAAACAAGATGCAACTATATGCTGTATACACTATACCTGAAACACCTATTCAGAAAGGCTAAAAATAGAGATGGACAAAGGTATACCAGGAAAATGGTAGGAGGAGGAGCGAGCCTGATCTCAGACAAAGTAGAAATCAATCAAGCCCCCCAAAACAAAGAAGCCTTTCTAGTGCTAAACACCACAATTCACTGTGAAGATGTGATACTTAGGAATATCTATACACTGAATAACACAGCAACCACCTCCATGGAGCAAAAACCATGGAAGAGTCAAGGAGACGTAGGTAGAAACACACTAATTGTAGGAGGCTTTCATATACCTCTCTCAGTATCAGACGGAGTAAGTGAACAAAAAAATAAGTGAGGAGATAGTTATAAACAACTTAAGCAGCTTAGTAAGGTACAGATGATGAATATACATCAAACTTGAAACTTTGATATTAGAGATAATAGAGAATGCACCTTCTCAAATGTCTACGATACACATACAAAATAGACCAACTATTAAGTCACAAGGAAAACAGTGATTTCCATTATTACATGGACATATAAACAATACTCTGGTCACAATGCTGTAAAATCAGAAATTACAAAAACAGAAAGGTCCTTTCCTATGGAAATTTTAAAACCTATTAACTCTTGGGTGAAAAGGGAAATACAAACTGAAATCATAGATTTTTTAAAATAATGAAAGTTTAAAACATTCCATCTCAGTTGTTTGCTCCATGTCTTAAATTATATGATAAGAAAAAGGAGGCAAGCTTTGTTCCACCTACTCTTGATAAATTTTCTTATAAAAAGTACTTTAATTCTCAGTGTTTCTAATGTTTAATTACTGTATACTAAAATATCGATTATATTTTTCATTTTTATACACTTATAGCCAACAATAAGAGTTTCTTATATTTTGACAAAAATGTTTAAAGGTCATAGAAAAATCATAATTTTCCCCATTAGTTATTAAGATTGCTTTTCACAGTTTCCACACGCACTGTCATTTTCTGATCCCAAGCTTCTGTGCAAAGTAGAACTGGCTATAGTTTGCAAGCCTCTGCAGAAATAAATTTGATAAACTGGATAAAATAGATAACTTCCTATGGAAATACAGATTACCAAAATTGACTCCATTAGAGGTAGAAAGCTTAAAGTGATCAATTTCTAAAGAAGTAGAGAATATTATTAAGCAACTACCCCACAGTGAAAGCACCAAGTCCGGATGGTTTCCTAGGGACCGGATAGTCCCAATAATTCTCAGGTTATTCTAGAGCATTGTAACAGAATGAAAATGTTCTAATTCCTTTTTATTTTTTTCTAATTCCTTTTATGAAGCATGCATAACACTGATACCTAAACCTAAAAGACAAAGACAATTTTAAAAAAAGAAAGGAAACTTCAGATAAATATCACTCATGAATATGACACAAAAATACTAAATAAAATATTAGAAGACTGAATACAGTACCATATTTAACAAATGTATCATGACCAAATGACATTCATTCCAGAAATGCAACTTTGTTTTGGTATTAAGAAATGCAATATAGGGCGCCTGGGTGGCTCAGTTGGTTAAGCGACTGCCTTCGGCTCAAGTCATGATCCTGGAGTCCCTGGATCGAGTCCCGCATCGGGCTCCCTGCTCGGCAGGGAGCCTGCTTCTGCCTCTGACCCTCCCCCCTCTCATGTGCTCTCTCTCTCTCGTTCTCTCTGTCTCAAATAAATAAATAAAATCTTTAAGGTGCCTGGGTGGCTCAGTCATTAAGCGTCTGCCTTCAGCTCAGGTCATGATCCCAGGGTCCTGGGATCGAGCCCGCATCGGGCTCCCTGCTCAGTGGGAAGCCTGCTTCTCCCTCTCCCACTGCCCCTGCTTATGTTCCCTCTCTCGCTGTGTCTCTCTCTGTCAAATAAATAAATAAAATCTTTAAGGTGCCTGGGTGGCTCAGTCATTAAGCGTCTGCCTTCAGCTCAGGTCATGATCCCAGGGTCCTGGGATCGAGCCCGCATCGGGCTCCCTGCTCAGTGGGAAGCCTGCTTCTCCCTCTCCCACTGCCCCTGCTTATGTTCCCTCTCTCACTATGTCTCTCTCTGTCAAATAAATAAATAAAAAATCTTTAAATATATATAATCATATAGCATATTAATATATCTAAGGAAAATAATTATACAATTATTCTCATATACACTGAAGAAGCCTTTAACAAAACTCAGTACCCAGGCATTCAAAAACATTCAAGAATAAAGGAGAACTGTAAGATAATTTAACATAGATACTATATATCTACCATAGTCTTCAACCTAGGATCTTAATGAAGAACACTAGAATCATTTCCCCCAATTTCAGGAAGAAGGCAGATATTGTCGACTATCCCCATTACTATTCCAAATATTAGTACAGTATTTGCCAGTACAGTTAAACAAGAGAAACCAATTAGAGACCTAAGACTAGGTAAAGAAGATGTGAAACTCTCTTTGCAGATGATATGATAATATATCTAGAAAACCACAGGAAAATCAATGATAAAACTAACTCAGACAATAAAAGAATTCAGTAAGGTAGTGGGATATGAAGTTAACATAAAATCAATAGCTTTTATAAACGGAGGATATAAACATGCCTGGGGCATGTCGTGATGTAGGAAATTAAGAAAATACTCAAAAAAGGATGGGATGTGTTGAAAGAGTAGAGGCGCGAGCCAACACAAAAGAGCTCCCAGTGATCAAAGGTGGAACAATTTGAGCAACAAAAAAAAATAATACTGGCTTATAACCCAAAGAAGAAAATAGATATCCACAAGTCTATAATGATATAACTAAATAATTGAATAAATAAACAAGGGGGAAGAAGGGACAGATCTTTCTTACAGAGGAATTCCAATTAATAAATGTAGAAGGACTGAGGGAAATAGAAAATCACCATTATGATACCACAGCAATAATTGTTGCAAGCAAGATACCCGCCAGTGGATGCTAAAATTAGCTCATGACAGTTTGAGGAGAAACAGGATGTTTTTATAATCTTGAAGTATCTCTTCTGAGATGTTTGTTAATTACAAAGGGAAATACAGTAACCTAACAGTGGAGAAAACCAGCAAGACACTACCTTAACCAAGTGATCAAGTTTAACATCACCACTGATAGGACATCGGCATTATATGTCCCTGATATAATGGAATGAGAGGGAGACAGCATCGTTTCTGTGGTATTCTTGCCAAAAATGAGTAAAATTTTAATCATGAGAAAACATCAGACAAACCCAAATTGTAGGGATAGTCTCTAAAATACATGACCAGTTCTCTTCAAAAGTGTCAAGGTCTTGAAAGACAAATACAAAGAAACTGTCACAAATTGGAGAATACTAGGAGACATGACAAGTAATTGCAATGTGGGATCCTGGATTTAATTCTGGAACGGAAGGATATTAACCAGAAAATTAGTAACATTTTAATAAGGTCTGTAGATTAATTAATAGTATTGTAGCAATGTTAATTTTTTGGTTTAGGTCATTATACTCTGGTTATGTAAGATGTTAACATTAGAAGAAACTATATGAAGGGTATATGGGAGCTCTGTACTATCTTTGTAACTTTTCCATATGTCTAAAATAATTTCTAAGTAGGGGCACTTGGGTGGCTCAGTTAAGCATCTGACTCTTGATTTCGGTGCAAGTTGTGAACTCAGGTTCATGAGATCTAGCCCTGCATCAGGCCCCACGCTGGGCATGGAGCCTGCTTAAGATTCTCTCTCTCCCTCTCCCCTTCCCCCCTCAAAAAAAAAACAAAAATCCATAATTCCTATCAAAATCTCAGGAAGAAAAAAAATAAGATACTACAATAATTTCTAAGTAAATAAAAAATAAAGTGATACCTAAATAAATAATTAGAAGTTATCAGAGGATACTTAAACTGCCTAATTTGAGAGAGTTACAGATTGTTTTATACAAACTATTTTAGAGTAACCTGTATTGTTGATTTAAATTCAAGGAGCCCTAGAAAATAATTCAAGAAGGATTTAGTTACTCTTCATTAAATCCAGAACAAACTGTCAGTACTTCAAACCCTTTCCAAATAGAAGTTGATCTGGCCATTTAGGAAGTTAGAGATATCTCTTGCTGAAGAGTGGGTGAGGATAGTCTTTTTAAAAGTACATTAAATGGTGTTAGTTTCATAGTGATGGTCTTCTCAAGATGTGTACAATGTCTTCTCAGGTATTCCGGAAGGACCTCATCAGTGCCATGAAACTTCCAGATTCTCATCACATTAATCCTGACAGCTATTACCTCTTTGCGGATACATGGAAGGAAGAATGGGAAAAGGGAGTCCAGGTACCAGCCAGTCCAGACAGTGTTCCACAGCCTTCCCTCAGGTATATGCATGCTTGTACCTTTGACTTAGGGAATGCATGCCCTTATGGTTATCTGTGTGTTGGTTGGGGAGAGACTGCATGGCTAATTATACATTCATAATACAAAGTCACATACCATGTTCACCCGTTCACTCAGACCAGTGGCAGATGATACCAGGCTAGGGTAGGTCAGTAGTTAAAGTCAAGCTCATTTATTTAGGGCTATAATATGTGCCTATTCACAGGGTAAAACTATTTGAAGTCCAATCTGAAATTGTGATAAGGTTTTGGAGAGTGGGATTTCCAAGTCTGACTCAACGATCAGTAGCATTCACTAGTCTTTGTAGAAGAAAGAGAGCATTAATTACATAGCCTCATAATAATCCTATTAATATATAACCCCATGAGAAGCTGCTTCATTATAATAGGGGCCTCATAGTAATAGAATCTGTAAATAGAGGGCCAAAACATATAGTTTGTAAAATGCATAAACCCAAATGAAAGGGGATGACTAGAATATCAGGTTGACTTATAAGCACATAACCTTCATTTACAAAGACTTGAGAAGAAAGTTTAAGTAGGAGAGGACTTGGGTTTGTGGAAAGGGGAGAGGACTTTTCTGCCAGACAAAGTAGTAAGTTCAGCTCCTCAAGAGTAATGCCTGGTTTGGAAGCCAATTTTCCTTACTGGTCTTTATGTTCCCAGTTCTTTGCACCAAGGCTGGCATGAAATAAAATGCCTGGTATAAAAGTCTGAGTGAGGGAAGAGAGGAATAGAAGGAATAGCACCAGATAAGGGGACTGGTGGGACCTGCTGATTACTATGAGAAATACCTCATTGTACATCTGTCTTTTTCTAGTACATGTTACCTTCTTAAAGGGCAAAGATCACGTCCTTGAATTCTGTGCCCCTAGCATTGGATTCTTAGGTCCCAGTCATGTCCCAGAAATGCTTGTCAGATCACTTCTAGAAACCCGAGCTCAGGCTGTCCACCCACAGAGACTGTCTGTGCTGTTAAGGAAGGCTCCCACAGTCTTGCTCCATACACTTCCTCAGCCTCTCTAGCTCCATCATCATCAACACCATCTCCTAGCTCCTAAAAATCAGAACAGCATCATGAATGAACACAAGAGTCAGACATTTTCATGTCCTTCTTGTCAGTATTTTTATATGCCATAGCAGTAACATTGGGGACTCTCTTTCTCTCTCTTCATATATGTATGAACAATCATCACAAATAGAGGAGTGAAAATGCATAAGAAAATGTGATAGTGGGCACATGAAGGCACAATACTGTGTGATTAGAAGAGAAAAGAAAGAAAGACAAGATGTGACTCTAAGCTTCCTAAAAGCAGAGCCCCTACTGTCAAGCAGGAGGTTTTCAGTACACACTTACTGATGTAAGGAAACTAGGACAAAGGAAGCAAAGGGGAAAGTGAGTGGATGTTAGGAAAGAAAATTGATGAAGAACCAAACGATATTATAGATAAGAAAACCAAAATGAGGCTAAGAAGGGAAGGGCATAAAAACAAAGAAGGTTAGGGAATAACAGTAAGTAGGAAGGGCTAATAAACCTTCTATTTTAACCACTTGCCTTTCCTATACAAAAAGTAAAAAGATTTTTTCCTTTTCTCAAGAACGTGATTGAATGAGTTTATTGTAAGTAAACATGCATTACAACTAACAGGTGACACTTGTAAATCAAACTAGGAAAATGGGAGGTAGGGGGATTTCACTAAGTTCCTCAGTCAAATCAGGTTCCAAGTTTGTCACATGACCAGGATGGACTTTTATAAATGTGCAACTTGCTTTTTTTTTAAGAGTTTTAAAATTGACATCTAACTGATACAAATTTTTTTATCAAGAAGGAATTCATATACCCTAAAATTCACCCTTTTAAATTGCATGACGGTTTTTAGTATATTCACACTTATGCAGCTACCACCACTATGTAAATCCAGAACATTTTCATTACCCCAGAAAGAAACCCTACATCTGTTAGCAGTTACTCCTCATTTTCCCCTTCCCCTGGCTCCTGGCAATCACTGTATTAGTCTGCTAAGGCTGTCATAACAAAATACCACAGACTGGGTGGCTTAAAAAACTGAAATTTATTTTCTCACAGTCTGAAGGCTAGAAGTCCGGGATCAAGTTGCCATCAGGATTGGGGTCCAGTGAAGCCTCTCTTCCTGGCTTGTAGACAGCTACCTTCTCACTGTGTTCTCACATGGCCTTTCCTCTGGGAACATAGGGAGATAGAGACAGAGACAGAGATGGAGATCTGGTGCCTCTTCCTCTTCTTATAAGGACACCAACCCTACCAGATATTAGGTCCCCACTCTATGATCTCACTTAACCTCTGTTATCTCCTTATAGGCCCCATCTTCAAATGTAGTCACACTGGGAGTTAGGGCTTCAGTATATAAATTTGGGGAGAACACAATTCAGTCTATAACAACCACTAATCTACTTTCTTTCTCTGTGAATTTGCCTATTCTGGACATTTCATATAAGTGGATTCGTACAACGTGTGGCCTCTGAGTCTGACTTCTTTTATGCAGCATAATATTTTCAAGGTTTATCCATGTTGTAGTATGTATCAGTGTTTTGTTAACTTTTTATGGCCAAATAATATTCCGTTGTATGGATAAGACCACATTTTGTTAATCAGTTGATAGATGTTTGGGTTGTTTCCATGTTTTAGCTATTATGAATAATGCTGCTGTAAACATTCTTGTACAAGGTTTTTGTTCTTTTTTTAAAGAGTATTTATTTATTTGAGAGGGAGCAAGAGCACAAGCGGGGTTAGAGGCTCCCTCTCAAATAAATAAATAAATAAATACTCTTTAAAAACCATGAGATTGCAGACTCACTCTGCATCCGGCTGCAGCCCCAGGCGGGTGCTTTTTCCGTCTGCCACAGAAACATCCCAGGGTGCTGTGACCACCTCAACCTGTCAAGGGTGATACAGCCGTCTGGGGACACAGGGTACTTCTTGGGGAGTGAGCTGGCCATCAAGGCCCCAAGCACATGCTCCCTGGCCTGGCCTCACAGCACCCAGCCAGGTGGTCACGTAACGACATCTGGCTAGAGTCCACGGCCGAAGGGGCCTCAAGAGGTCCTTGCAGTCACCTGCTTGCTTGGGGCCCGACGATGGCTGCCCTAGTAAGGGACCTGACCTAACTGAGCTCCCTGACTCCCGTCCCAGGCATGAGCTCTTAACTCGTTTGTGTGCCCCTGGAGGCTGGCTTGGCCGGCACGTGGTGAAGCGGCCTGTCCTGTCCTGCGGCCTTGGCCCAGGGCCACAGGAGGTGGATGGGCTGCAGAGAGCGGCGCTTCCCGGTTTTCTTACTGCGTCCCCCTATGTCTCAGCAGGGTCGGGCAAAAACGACGATGCCGAGAAGGTGACTGAGAAGCTAGAAGCTCTCTCCGTGAAGGAGGAGAGCAAGGAGTCGGAAGACACCGAGAGCAAGGCTGGAGCGGAGGAGGAGCAATAAGCCACCTCCCCTTGACTTCTCTTCCTTCCGTTCTTTTCCTCCTTTTTCTTTTTTTAAATTTTGCCCTGCCCCTTCTTTTCAGTTTGTTTTTATTCTGTTTTGTTTTTACAAGGGACTTTATATAAAGAACTGAATTCCAACATTCAGGTTGTTTTTTTCTAAGTTTTTGCCCT